TCTTTCTCGTTTGGTGCGGTAGCTGGTCTTTCTTTCTATCATTTTGTTTCTCTTCCGAGTGGTTTTTGTACCCTATTTTTTTCTGTTTCTTCGTGGGGTCGTGTATGCCGGGTTTTGAGACCACGGGCTCCCAATCTTTCTTTTTTAGAGCTAAGGTGAGAAACAACAACAACAACAACAACTCACCACGTCTATGTGTCTGGCAATCTCCTACATCACTCAGCCTGTGAGGTTTCCGTAAACAGCTATCCTCACTCCACTCGTCCATGCGTCACGCGTCTTTGGTAGCGCATACTATGGGGCTATATTTGGGTTGGCGTGTTTTACAGCGCTTTGCCAACAGCGCCAATCCACTTAAGTCTAGAACGGGGGGTGGGGGAGGCGATTGAAATGGTCCCATCCCCCCAACGTCTATCGAGGGCGCGTCCTTTCTTTGGCATTGGTTGGCGTCGACGAGTGTCGGACTTTGGTGCAAGATATCCGCTGTTACAAATTCCACCACGGATACTCTACACCAGAACAACGAAATAATTGTGGAGGAACACAGATTACTTTCGGCCTGTTTTGTTGCGTAGAGTTTGTTCTTCTGATGACGTGGGGGAAGTTCATTGCGCTACCTCGAAAACAAGATTTTTGCGAAAGATTAGTGCATCTACTCGCCGCCAACCGGTCGGGTTCCGGTCAGCATTGAATTTTGCTTATTACTCTTTCAGTTTGGCTGTAGTGCGACATGGGATCCATCGGAACCTAGCTTATCCTGGGCAGGATAGTCCCCTGCATTACTGTAAAATATTTGAACGAGCACATGGTAGATGTGCGGGCGGTTGGCTTGACGGACCAAGGTGCTGTCGTGCCGGAAAGCGTCCGCAAACGCGAGAGGTGTGGTGATATTACCCCTAGTGGCTGGTTATCTTCTCGTACTTGTGGCCTGGAGAGAGACGCATGTGCGTTGGACAGCGGGAGGGTACGGGCAGCTCCTCCATGTTCGGCCTGCGGTTGCAGTCCGAGGGCCGAAAGGAGAGGGAACAAGAGGGGGGAGGCCGTTCGTCTCTACAGGGGAACCGTGGACAATGACATCTTTGCCACCTCAGGTTCCAGATTTGGCGGGATGACGGCACGGCCACGACCGAGTATCATTCAGCCCAAAAGGGAGGAGGAGAGAGGCCGTCGTTGTAACTGTGGCTCTCGTCTTCATGTTAAATCGATGGGTTGATGCTGATTGTTGATTGTCTTTCAGGATGGGGTTTGACAGCCCATTCCAAGGCCAAGTCTCCAGCAAAGACAGAGCAACGGATCAAATTTACATGCTTCAAACGACACGAGGCCGACCTCTCACGTGAAAACATGGGCGGTCAAGTGTTCGCGGTTGATGCTAATCAAAGAATCCCATTCAGACTACTTCGCAGTTGGGTGGATGTGTCCTCTGAACCCAGAGGCTGTAGGTTTAGCAAGATGACCGAGCCTTGCTTTTCAAAATCTTAATCTTCCATGGAACGCCCACTAATTTCGCGAATGCCTTCAAGAACACACGCAGACTGGTGTATTGCGAAGCTACAGTAGTACCTGTGGCACCAACCCCACCCAGACAGGGGTTCGAATACGGGGCCCTGGCAATGAATGAACGCCATTGAAAGCCCCCTGCCCCCTCCCCCAACCACGCATAACGTCCTGTTTTGATGTGATACTGTACCGGGTCCTCTGTTGACAAATATACATTCGACATCCACACAAACCTACCGGCACCAAACTAACCCCCGATCACCCCACGGTACACACAAAAATGCATAGTGCTCGTGATGTTGGAGCATGTCCGTGTTGTCCATGATTTCGTGTGGTTGTTGGCAGGTTGGAGAGTGGAGACGGGCCAACATACGGACGGGAGGAAATCGCCTCCTCGTGACCGTGCGTTGTTGGTGTGAGGACATCCGCAGCCTCCGAGGAGTACGGGGGTGTACAGACCCTCGGAGTGCATGTGACACCTACACATTCATCTACTCCCCTGAGCAAAATTTTCGATTGAAGGATAAGGGGGGTGTGATGACGACCAAGTAAAGGTGCAATGTATAGGCGAACGCGATCACGAATACAGATTTTTGACTGAAGGCCAAAGGTTGCCTACCCGTTCCGCAACCTGCACTGAGGGCAGCTTCAAGTTCTCCGTCGTGGCCTCGTCCCGGTGGTCTAATACTGATGAAGTGATTAGGCGGCAACGTTATCTCGTTCCCGAGTCTTTACCGTTCCGCTCCTTTTCGTGGGTGGGGCGAAATTCAACACTACGTTTTTGTCAGCAACACATTCAGAAGACGCACGATTCTGTACGCGCCTTCCTCGTCCTCCACGCACGCCGTCCTATGACCTTGCGCGGCCTATTGCCGACCTTTCGGGAGACTGGCCCATGCCGCAAAACCGCGCGCACACATACTCACGCATGTACAAGCACACGCACACTGAGACTGAAGTATTATCATTGATCAAGCCGCTATGCGCAATGCAAATAACGAAAACACGCACACGAACATGCACACTCACGCACGCACGCACGCCAGTGCACGCTTCTCTCGCTGGCACTCGATGCTGAGACTTTCGCGGACTACTGTTCCCCCCCTGCCGTACTCCGACGATGGGCTATCCTTCGCAACTTCAGTGACCACGGCGATGCCCCCCACTTCCGGGGGATGACCAGCTCCAGACTCGTTGTCATCCTACGAGCTCGCCGATAGTGGAATCGCAGACACCCCCGTTGGCGGTGTTGCGGCTGATGTGGGAGCTAGTCCCCGGGGAGACGCCGTGCGCCTCTACCACCTGACGTCCACGAGGTTTCTAACCTACCAGGCGGTGACGTCGGGAGCGATTCCGACACAGGGGGGTGGGCGAAGGGGTGTGGTTGGTTGCCCAGGTCGGAGAAGGAGGCGTAGGCCGAAGAGGAGGGGCAGGGAAGGGGGTGGGGTGGAGGGTTCGGCATGGCGGAAGGCAAGCGGCGGCAGCGGTGTGTCATCGGCAGCGGTCCTTTCCAGTACGTTTCCGCAAACCGCTACCGCCACCAGAAGCTGCACAATACCAGCAGCAACTGCCTGTCGGTTCTGGAGCGGACCCACCACTCCAACCGCTCCGAGGTATCTCCTCGAGGGCTGCCTTCGACACGCAACGGCAGCTGCAGGAGGGAGGGACCGACTGTTTTTTCAATCGTAGGTGGCGGCGGTGGCGGTACTCAGAGGCATAGAGGGAGCAGCAACCCCCACGTGGTTCCCGGTGGAAACGACGGCGGAGTACGTGTTGGCAGCAGCGGCGGCGGCGGTGGCGGCAATAGCGCCGGTGCCAGCGACACTCGCCAATCCTCCTCCTGCGCAAGCTGGCGCAGCGGGTGCAGCACCTACCCCAATGATCATCGCGACGCGGAGGAAAATTATGGGGGAGGGACATGATGTCGAGTTCGTCCACAAGCACCTCACTGTCATGCGCCGCTACTGGGTGTCGTGAATAGTTCGATCAAGTCCGGGGTGAGGGAGTCAATGCCGAGGGGGACGGCGGTTCCGGCAGAACATTGGGCACCCGGCCGCGGGGTACAGCAGAACGAGAGGAGCGGCGGATGCTGCGACTGCAAGAAGAGTGGGGCGGGTGATCAGCACGGCGGCCACACGGGCGGGCGTGTTGGTGACAGCGGCAGCAGCGGAAGGGGTGGGTGTGGGACCTAGCCCACCTCCACCATAAGAACACGCAATTGCTTCTGTCGGCCTTCCCTCTGAAAAACACTGCTTTGCCGGGTGTCGCGCTTACAATGGTCAAGTTTCCACTGGCAACTGAGGCAAGAGTTGTTTATTTCTCTGTTCGAGACGGAAGTTTGTTTGGGGGGGCATATGGTGTTTCGTTGGTGCGTGATGCCTAAGGAGCATTGTAACAGAACATTTTGCATGGTAAGATGCCGTTGCTGACGGGATGATGTTATGATGATGTGGATGCCAGGCTCCATGATTGTCGAACCTCGACGGCTGCAGGAAGCAAAAGCCATTCGTGACGATCTCGGACCAGGGCGTTGTGCGGACCAGGGACGGCGAACCAGTAAGCTGAGTGTTGCCCCTTCAAGATGGGACAAGGGAAGATTTCTTCTGGACAACAGGGATCGAACGTTTCGCACAGTGGCCCGCACCATTACAAGAAGCAGTCCACCGACGGAAAATGATGAACGTCCGCGCGTGCGCATGTGTAAATAAACGTAACTCGCCACTGAGCGTTCAACGCCGGTGTATCAATACTTCGAGTCGCGGGTCGTGGACCGTTACAGTTTCTGTCTGGCACCGAAATTGGCCCCTCGTCGGCACGAGTGTCCTCTCTTGTCACTCGCAAGACACCGCTTCGAAGCAAGAGAGCAAATCACGAACAACTGAGAACCCTAAGTTGACGTCGTGCACCCTCAACACATCAATCCCCTTCCCACCAAAACCAACGATACCAATCCCCGGCAACCACCCCGTTCCCAGCATTGTTTCCCCTTTGTGGTCTCAGTAAGAGAATGGGCACAACGCCGTAGGATTGCACGCCAACCGTGTGATCCTTCTTCTACAACCATAAGCGAATACACGCCGCTGTGCCACTTAGCCTATAGTCTACCCCCTTCGGCGGACAGCAATGTAATTGACCAGTGTCCTGAGGTGCACAGTGGGGAGAGACAACCAAACATACAGTACACAGCACGTCACTTCTGCGGCAAAAACCTCGAACAATCGCAACGACACGTTCAACTCACCGGAAGTTGCGTGAAACACAGCGATACGGAGGCAACGCGCAAAACCTCATATGAATATTAATTTTCGGAGAATGGAGTCCCTGGTACAACAATACGGCAGCATGGAGTTGAGTACTTGTCGAATTCCCGAAGATCGTCTCTTCGCCCCTAACTAGACTGGTTTATTTTCTCGTACAATATGCGCCAACACTACCTAAATAATTGGTAGTTGGCCTGAATGATCAACACAATATTTACCTGCAGGCAGGTGCTTTGTCAAGAATTCAAATAAAATTAGTGGATGAGGGGTTATCCCCTAGAGAAAAAGAAGAAACCAGCTTTTTCCCTTTTGAAGATGACGATCACCGAGGCATGGGTTTGTTGATACAGTTTCGCCCTGGCTTTCCCTCCCTACCTGCTTCTGCAGAACCTCAAATGCGAGAATCTTTGATGCCCATGATCCGGGTAAATACGAGGGAACGCGACAGACGTGTTGATGTCGTTGTTAGAATGTCGCAACATCAACAAGCATTAGCAGACGGCGCTAGGTTGTGGATTCACCGCGACAGTGACAGACAATATTTCAGTTTCAAGCAAGGCATTCAACGTGGCGAGAGTTCAAACGGAACGAGAGTAGATCTACTGTAGCTCACCCGGGTCCATGACGCATGGAGCTGCTCCTTTCTCGCTGCAAGGTTCACCGGCAGCAATGATGTTGGACGTGCAGCACGACTCCACACCTGAGTAAAAAGTTTAGCATACAGAAGGGTAGATCGACTGCGTTTGAACCTTCGTCGGGTGGCGCCATCGCGAACATAAATCAAGTTAGTTCTACCCAAAGAGAAAGCAAAACTTTGAAGCTATCATCGCTCGCTCGCGAGAAAACCCGACACGCACACCATACCTTCGGCGAGCTGCGAGCATCCTTCTCCGCCACACGTGCCACAGCCAACTGAACAACAGGCGCCCGACTTCTCGTAACCGGCAAGCCCGTTGGAGCACGTTTGAGCTGTTCAAGAACACGGGGACACAGGAAAACCGGGCTCAACAGGGAATGACAATTGACTCCCGCTTGCTGATTTTCCGACTGGCGAGGGCAGCTGGGAGGCAACACTGCCGGCGATACTGTCAGGGTGGAACTGGTTCGTGCCCTGGCGTTGGCAGCGGTGGAGATTTCAAACGCTGAGTTGCGTCCATGTAACGAACGCGTCAATGGCAGGCCTTTCCGGCGGGAAGTTCCGTCCGCGTGTCGGGGTATGGAAAGTAACCACCAACGAGGCCCAGCATCAAGCTAGGGTTTAGTTTCAAGCGTTGCAACCTGAAGCGCAATGTAGGGACACCAATGACCTCACCGGGGTCCACCACGCATGGGGCTGCCCCTTTCTCGCCGCAAGGTTCGCCGGCAGCAATGATGTTGGACGTACAGCACGACTCCGCACCTGAACAAGAAGAGTAGCAAGCACAAGGGTAGCCTGACGGCGTTTAAAACCTTCGTCGGTTTACTCATGGTCGTGCATGCCGTTGTCTTTTGGCCATTGACCTGGTCTCCCCACAAAGCTGCGACACAGCACGCAGGGTTCTCACCGGACCAGGCTCTCACATCACCAAGCGCGAAGCGCCGTGAGACACTCCGCGGGTCGCATGGAGGTTGCGCTGCATCCTGCTAAGGGTGTTCGGAGTCTTGTGCCTACTTCCTTGCATACGGATGACAGCTTCGAATGACCACATACATTTTTTCGTGCTTATCCTTTCAGAAATAGTCGTAAGTACTGTCTAGCTGCCTCCAGGGTGTTTGACCAATTTTAACACAACGTGGTTCATCATCCCCTTTGCACGGAGTGAGGGTTCTCGACCACGCACAAAGTAATCTACTCGACCACCATTGTGGTTACTGCAGACTAAAAAAGGCCTAAACACAAGCGGTAGCCAATTTACGGAGCTCACCAAATGATCCGCTTGTTTGACAACGTCGTTGCCAATCGACGAAAACCCAACCCCGACGGCAAACACCGGGCGCGGAGGGACGGGGGGGGGTCATCAAGGACGCGAATCTTCATGCTACCCGAGGCGAAGACAAAACTTTGAAGTTGTCATTGCTCGCTCGCGAGAAAACACGATACGCACACCATACCTTCGCCGAGCTGCGAACATCCTTGTCCGCCGCATGTGCCGCAGCCAACTGAACAACAGGCGCCCGACTTCTCGAAACCGGCAAGACCGTTAGAACACGCTTGGGCTGTTCCACAACACAGGAACGCAGGTCGAAACAGGAAAGGACATGCCATGGGATTTCTTACAAACTTGAGCAGCGTATACAGAACTGAAAAAACGGTAGAACTTCGCAAGGAGAACTGGAACACGAAACGCTAAAAGCCGACACCTATTGCAACAACCCGCTCGTTGAACTTCCGGCTCTGGAACTGGTCCTTACCGTGGCGGTGACAACAGTGGAGATTTTACGACGTCTCCGCTTGAGCTTCGCTATTTTTACGTTCAAAGGACACTCACTACCCTGGCACGGCTTTCCATCTGGCAGTTCCGCGACAGGGTTCTGCAATTTCGGTGTGTTGGGGCCAATATCAGACTACCCTAGACTTCAGGTATTCACGCGTTCTAAGCTGAAACGGTTTCAACCGAAAGTGCAGCAAGGGACACTCATTGACTCACCGGTGTCCATGATGCATGGAGCTGCTCCTTTCTCGCTGCAAGGTTCGCCGGCAGCAATGATGTTGGACGTGCAGCACGACTCCGCACCTAAGTATGAAGGTTGAACAACAACAGCGATCGCTTGATTATGGTGTGTCGAGTGGCGTCGTCGAGAGCGCGACACAGAGTTCTTCATGCTACTCAAAGAGAAAGAAAGCGTGGGTTCTCAACGAGGATACGTACACCATACCTTGGCCGAGCTGCGAACATCCTTCTCCGCCGCATGTGCCGCAGCCAACTGAACAACAGGCGCCCGACTTCTCGTAACCGGCAAGCCCGTTGGAGCACGTTTGGGCTGTTCGGGCGCGCACGGTTAAACACTGGTGGCATGGAGGGCTAAGTTGCACGGATAATAGCATCATGGCCAGCAACACACCCAATACTGACAACCCGCTGTGATATTGAACAAGGGTTGGGTCGGTGAACACCTTGCGGTTTCTGACAAGGATCGTTGCTGTGCTCGAGGCAGGACGCGTTCGATGGCGGCTCAAGGGGGTTGGATTTAGAGGGACTTCACGCAAGTGAAACGTAACTGTGTGCAACATGTACACTTCACCTTCCATCACGGGCGCGGGAGAAGGGGTAGGGGCCAGGGAAGCCAGGGAAGTATTACCTGTTGGAAAAGCGAGGCAGAAACTTCAGGTACCAGAACGGTTTCATCGCTTTAAAATTAGTGCGATCAATTCACGGTGACGGTAGAGGTAGAGTGCGATCAACGGACAACATCAGTACTGTTCGCCCTGCACGTGCACCCACACAACACAAGTGATGTTCTCACCGCACGTGTACCCTTCGGGACCAGGAGAGCACGCCAGGTCTTGGCCACATGGGCTTGTTCCGTCCGAGAGTTCACACCCTGCAGGCAACTCATCCATGAACGTTGAGAGATGAGCTCGTTGTTACATGTTGCCGAATCGGAACATTCACACTCACTATTCATCACTACCCCGATGGTGTGCAATTGGTCCAGATGCTAATGGAAACGAGGGTGACAGAAGAAGAAGTGCTACGCTCTGAAGCCGACCCTTCCAGTGAGCTTCAACGAGGCGAAGAGTGCGCCGAACTCAGGAAACTTTTGTGGTGACTGATCGATCCACAGTGAGAGCGTCTGCGCAATGTCATGTACGTGGTAACAAATACGTTTGCAAGAATACGCATGTCCCATTTTGAACCACAACCGTCGACACTTACCGCACACGTCTGTGACGCCAGTGTATCCGATAACCTCAGTCCTTTATGTGGAAGCAAAAGACGAGTGTGGGCCGCAAGGGGAGAAATGTATTGAGACACTTCTTGCAGATTCGGTTGGATTTGGTACACGCGCAAACGTTCGGGCTTGACACGCGAGAGAACCATAGGAAGGTGAGCGTCTTCACAGTCAGCCGTCCTCACATTGCTTCAGGTGTTGGAGGCAGGCACTCCAGATTCGGGTTTCCATTCACGTCTCTGTCACGAGCGACGACAAGGGTCATGATTAGGAAAGGCGGTGGGGACTTCACATCGCACGCTCGCACGCAACAGTAGCAACATTGGGCTTGGTGTTTTCAGCATGACAAAGAACAATCGCCATCGAGGAGTGCCCACCACTAACAGCTTTGAAGATGGTCCGGTATTAGACAACGTCGGGAACAAAAGCATGGTAGGTATCGTTAGGTTCCAGGTACATGTTAGATGGCAAGAATTTTGGGCAGAAGCCTAACAGACATTTCGCCCAAGGTTGCTCGAAGTTGCCGAACGAGCAGAGATCGATGAATAGTATCGAAACTGTCAAGATGTAACCTGGATTTGAGAGACCCATGGTTTGATCAATTTTATACTTGGTGTGGTTCGCCCAAGTGTGCTTGGGCGTGAAGAACCAATGACCGGCCATTCTGCCACTGCAAGGGTTTCGCACGTTCTCCGTTTATAGACAGACCATGCCGTGTGACGACTTATCGTGTCCGCGTAAACGTTACTGCTTGGAAATAGTTCGCGAGGTGTGCCTCGTGTTGAACGTTCCACAAAGTTTGTTCTGCCACGCACGGATGCACTCACATTTGTATCAGCGACGTCAAGGATGTAAAAATCCCCTCCGGAAGCGTGGTCAGGTCATTGTTTCGGATCCAACTTGGTTCGGGAGGGGACATGCACGGGAAAACGTTTGCCGGGAAAACGTTTGCGGAGAGAGTTATCACATGGAAGATAACGAAGGGGACACGATGACCATCCACATGATTCGCCTATATGACCAAGCTTGGACGTTAGCTCGTAGTCCGGACGGATATCCACTATCGTTCGTAAACACGACCTGTACCACTCACTGTGTGTCGGTACCTCGCGAGGTGTGCGTTGTTCAAAACAGCGCAGTTTGTGTAGCTTATCGGGTGTGCGACTTCGAACACATCTAACCGCCTCCCCCAGCACATGGCAACAACGAGCGCTGCCCCCTCTAGTTTGACCAACGCGAGGGGCCAACCACCACCCACTTAGCTATCCACTATCGAGTGCAGCCGCGGTCAAGTACTCATGAGTACAGCAAGATGCGACAGCTCTTTCCGCCTAGGGTGCGTCTATCATGACACTCGTTTGATCGTCCCGGAAACACGTTCTTAAACTCACAGATATTCTAGGGACGTCAAATGTTGAAAAATCTTTTCCGGAAGCGCGACCAGATTGTTGGTACTGAGGTTCCTGTTCGTATTTTGCCGGGGGATGGGAAGGAATCGCCAAAAGTGACATATTAGGGGCGTTAGCTTGGTTAGACTGAATGATCAGTTAGGGTTTGTGGTCGTTGGTCAGATATCTGGAAATCCCTGGCAAGTCGACAACCGCACCAATCGCCACGTTGAGCGTTGGAAAGAGCTCGCCATGTGTCCTCATGTTGACGGTTCCGCAACGTTTGTTCTCCCAAGCACGGATGCACTCACAGAATTGCCAGCGACGTCAAGGATTGAAAAATCCCTTCCGGAAGCGCCATCAGGCTGTCGTTATCTCGGATCCATCTTGGCTTGGAAGAGGACATGGGAAAACGTGCGAAGTGAGCGGTGTATTACTGCAATGACGTATTAGGGCGCAGAAACGTTTCTCCCCCTGTGAATTCTCCGAATGTGACGTGACAACAATGGGACTCTCAACAGCGCCACTTGGCTAGCATCCAGACGTGTGGGGTCGAGCGTGCTCAAACACAAGCCCCACCCCCGTGCGTGGCACCAACGGGTGTTGTACTGAACGATGACATACTCACAGAGTTGAAAGGGACGTCAGATATTGAAAAATCTCTTCAGGGAGCGTGGTGAGACTGGTGGTCGAGATGGTCCTGCATTTTCCACGAAATCAAGAGGACGACGGGCGAATGAACACGCGAGCCTTTTAAGGGTGCTCAGGTGGTGAACTCTTGCAGGGGCAGAATGTTCAGCTTGCGGCAATGTTTGACAACGTGGGTGGATGTCCATGAAGTTACATTTTGGATGTATCACATAATCTAGGTAACCGTAGTCGTCGAGACGGTTTCCTGGAGCGGAAGACCATAGCTGCATCGTTCGCGTTTACGTTTCCAGCGATTCCGTTTTATCTGGTGGACCATACGCAGGCACCAGCAGTTAGAATTCGTGAGCAAACAGCGTGGCTTGTGCAATCTTGCCAGGCGTGTGCCATCGCTAATGTAGGGATAGCTACGGCGCCCGGGACAGCTACGGCGACAGTTTGGCAAGGGTATACACAACAATAACGAGCACTAACAGCCCAGAGGGTGTTTACGCGAAACCCTAGCTGGCAACTTTTCGCGGCCGTGTTACTTTGGAGCTGCAACCTTCTCACATAGTCGTCAGGGACGTCATCGATCGAAATATCCCCTCCGGAAGCGTGAGCAGCGGGTTGTCTTGGATGCGTCTTTTTCGTTTGGGCGGGGGGGATGGTCGTTCGCGGAGTAAGCGGCACGTGAACACTGATAACCCGAATTGGTGTATGGCGAACTTTCCACAATACTCGTAGATCATTGGCCGGGAAGATCACATTGCCCTGCAAATGATCCACATCCATGCTTCCCCTACCGGGAGGGTGACGTGGTGCTACTACTGTAGGTGCTTCGGGCTGACCTTTTCGTGCCGGGAGAGTTCCAGTTGTTCGTGAAATCGTGCATTCTCCGAGTGTGACGTGACAACAAATTGGCCTTTGACCAAAACGCAACGGGTCACCACATGGATTTCTGGCGCATCCATAAACCACGCTTTGACGGACCACTCACAGGTGCGTCACGGACGTCAAAGACGCGAAAATGTCTTCCGGAAGCATGGTCAGGTCGTTGGCTCCGACGCTCCTGAATTCGAAACAATCGACAGGATTCAGAGGGGATGATTGAGCAAGCCACGTAGAAATATGATTCGCCCTGAAATCAATGACGAGCTGAGTGGCGCAGAGATGGCAGTGCTTGGCACTAGCGTAGACAATAGGTCTTTAGCCGGACGGACGTCCATGAACCTACCAGTTACATGTGCCACACACCGTGCTCCACAGGTGTGTTTCATGCGCATGACCGTGATGCACACCGACCCTTTAACAAGCGTAGCAATGGCGTACGACAGGTGTGAACACATCCTTTTTGACCGTCCAGGAAACATGAATTGTGAGTTGCGACCGACTTACAGTTCAATCAGGGACGCCAAGGATCCAAAGATCCCTTCCGGAAGAGAGGTCAGCTTGTTTTCGAAGAGGTTCCTAGGTAGGGACGAAATGAGCGAATGCGAATGACGGTGGTCTCAGCCTCATAGTTGCCCCATGTACTGGGAGCAGGTTTGGATTGTTCACCCTGCAGGCAATACTGGGGCCCGCGTCGTTTGAATAGCGTGAACAGCTATGGACGTGCCACCCAGCCACCGAGTACCAGGTGTGGGTCACCACATCACTACGTTAGCCGCTATTCACGAGATGGTCCATGGCACCCTCTAGCGATGGCATGCGGGTGATGCCGAGAGGCAGCCGACTCACAGCAACTCCAGGGACGTCAAGGATAGAAAAATCCCTTCCGGAAGTGTAGTCAGCTGATTGCTCCAGAGGCTCCTGAGGTCGAACGCAGTCGAGAGACGCGGCAAAAGGAATGATTGAGGCGCAAGTCCAGCAGGTCAGACTCGGTAGAGCAGCTGGAATCGAGCTGTCTGTAACGCAAAACAACCGTGAAGGTTTACAATGGGGAACGCGATATCCATTCTCTACCAAGTTGACCGTCAAACCCCGCTCACGGAGGCACTCTATTAGGAGCTTGGCTGCGCCAACTATGTACTTGCGTAAACATGTTCTTCGTACAGTACCACGGTAAACGACGACATCACAAAGGGATACCTAAAAAAACAGTTTGGTACCAGGTGGATTTTCACTCTGTTGACCCGTCCCCGAAAACACGTTCTGTGAGGGTGCGACCTACTCACAGATTTGTAAGGGCCGATAGTGGTTGAAATACCTCTTCCGGGAGTGTAGTTAGGTTGTTGTAGGAGAAGTTCCTGGGATTTGGAAGATGCGAAAACACCGGACGCAGGATGAGTCTCATAGACGCATCGTGCATAAGACACGTAGATATTTCCAGGTGTGTGCCGGTCAACACGTTTCCAACAACCTCCTTCATCAATACGTGCATGGCAGCAGTAGGAGCTGAGACTTCTAAGACTACGTGAAGAGCCTTTCATCGCCAGCCCACCCACACAACCAAAGAAAACGTTAGCTAGGGTGACACCCATACCTATGTGGTCATCCATGACACGGACCGATAGCTCGTCGGTTCACCGCAGAGCGCTAGAAACAGCACAAATTTGATTACCTCGCTTTACCACCTCGCAATCAAGCTGAACTCACAGGGATGTCCATGACGTCGAAGACTGAAAAAACTCCCCCGGAAGCGTGGTCAGGGTGTTGTTGTAGAGGTCCCTTTTTGTTAGATTCAGGAGATGAGGACAGAACGCTTTCGGCGTGAGTCTCTCAGCCTCGCGGTCGCGTCAAATCATGACTCGTACAAAATATCCCTCCAACCAAGTGATGCAGGCGTGGTTAGGACTCGAAGCCACTTCGATTCACACTTCAATGGCCGAACGTATGCCGATAGAACAGACAGCCTGATTAGATTGTCAAAACGATGCGAGTTCCAGTAGAGAGCGCCGTCGAGAGTGACATTCTACTTTGACTGGAAAGAGAATGTACACAACTTCAGGAGTTTCATCCAACACGAGCTACTTGCGGGATCCTGAAGCTATCATCACGCTCCCCTAGTGCCACACGATATTTATCTTACATGTACGTGGTTTGTTCACTCACAGTTGTTCTACTGATGGATTCTGAAGTTGACTCCCGACGGTAGTGCAGACTTCCAGATCATCAAAGTCATCGTCTGTAAGACCACAGCCAACAAGACTCCTTTTCGAGACGAAAGGGTCGCCGGTCATTTGAGCACAGTTCACGTACGGGGGGCGAGATCGATATATTGGCGCACAATGATCGGCCGTGTTATTAACTGCCGGAGCGGAATGGTCTATACCACACCTTCATTCAACGGCATTGCATTAGGCGCGTGTGGAGCGATGCAGTATGGGGTCGGAAAATGCCCGCAGTGCAAGAACGACCAACCGCCTTGGACAAAACGGCATTTGCACTCACAGTGTCGATTGCTCCTTGGCCACGATAGCCGCGCCGCAGCGGTAGTCGGAGTTGTTGGGGTCCAGACACGAGTTTTTGGCTGCAACCAATTCAGAGCAGTGCCACGGGGTGAGGGGCAGGTGACAAATGTTGTTCTGTGTTGCCGAAAACCGCGGTGCTACATCACATGAATGAGTCCTGTAGAAAAAACTGAACGCACATGTGTGGAGGTATTGATACGAGGTGCGGAGCCTCCGCGTCTTGACTTTCGGGGGGTTTACCTCTTTCGATGTTTTCTCATGTTTCTCAGGCAAAATAAAAGGACAACCTCAACGAGGCGAGTGCGCACTTCACAACGGCACTTTTTGCGAGCAATTACACCAATCAGAAGTTGGATTTGTTTTTTTTTTGCCTACATTGAATGGGACCTGCTAACTGGACTGCTTTGCCTGTTGTGCGACGACCTTCAGTAGGTGGCTCGACGAAGAGTAGGAATCCCCGAAAGAATTGAACCTCGTTCACCGCCTATTGTTCTCGTTTCGTTTGGCCCACCTTGAACAACAGCCAGAGAGGCGAGCACCGACAGTGCCCTGGACAGAGCAGCCCTCATTTTTCAGCGACTTCCAAGCCTCCAGCCTCAAGTATTGTAACCCCTGATGAAGAAACGGGAAAAAAATGGCGCGCAACGAAACATTTGTTCGGTCAAAAGATCGGAAAAAGCTGTCGTTTTCCAGAACGAATGTTCGTTTGCAAAATCTGTTTTTATACCGCACTGTAAAATCGCGGACGTGCTCCGACCTCAAGACAGGAAGAAAACATAAATTTCTCGTCTGAAACTAAGGCACCGAGCTTCATGTTCTCTGAATTCGCCAATAGGGTGCGCATCGGGACCGACTGCCGTAGTTGGATGGCCTTCCTTTGACCGCAGTAGAATGTGGCAGTACTGGCGGCATGTTCAGGGTTGAGGTGTTGAACAGAGCATCGGAGTTCCTTGTTCCGCGTTATTGTCCAGTTTAAAAACTCCAATTTGCAATAATCTAGTTGGCAGAAGTGACGGTTGAGAATCCAGTTCAAAACCCGGCTCACGAATTATTTAGTCGAAGTTCTACCAAGTCGAACCTACATTTCGGGAAAGGTCAATATCGTGTAGGCGTGTAGGACTTGCCTGAAGCGACGGAATGTTTCTCCAACGCTTCATTCGCCGATAGATTTTAGCGCATTAATCTGTCGTACTCGGACCATGTGCGCGCCATGTGAGCACTGCAGCAGCACAAGACAGAGAGGAATCGCATTGTTTACTCAACGCCACGTCTGCGAGCAGAACAATTTCAGGGTTTTCATCTGCCTTCATGACGTTGATTTGGGTCGCGGTTGGCTAGTTTCGGCCCTAAATGCGGTCCGAAAAAACGGATATTCACGCCATCACTACGAGAGCTTGAAGGCCTCGGAGATCGTGCTTCTTTCGAAATGGTGCTTTACGTGACCAGGGCTGTCGGCGATGCCGGCGCCACGGGCTTGTGGGTGCCCTGTCGCTGCGGCGGCAAGGATTGAAAGTGACGGTTGGTTTCATGTCGTACAAAGTCAAAGGCCGAAAAATCGCCGAGGTTGACACTTGGGCTCACGCCACCACAAACTACGAGAGCTTGAAGGCCTCCGAGGTCCTACAGAATTCAAAACAGTGCATGATGATGGAAGAATCTGAATCTGACCGGAGTTCTCCGACAAACTTGATCGACGTATTTGAAATGGGGCAAGGTCGGTTGGCCTCACCCGGACTTAAATGAGAGATGATTTCTTAGCGTGAGGGTCGAGGCTTATTCAATGCCTAGGCCGAGCACCTTCTTTTCGTGAAAACTCTTGTCTTGACCAGGCACTCGTCGCCGAATACGGATTTCTCGTTCTTATTTCAAAGTCGAGCGTGCCCCAGTTAATGATCACTCTGCAATGTACAAGAAAGCAACGCTTCCATGAAGCAACTCTCAATATTCTTGGGTACGCACCACTTCCCACTCTACTAATGTCCCCCGTGGTTGCAGCTCCGACGCCACCCACCTTCTCCGCCGTGCCCTTCTCAAGCAAAACTCACGAGCCTACCACCGCATCTGGATCTCCGCCATACGTTTACAACGGCCGCTTCATGCTGCGTATACTTTGGTCTACATCGACGTGCACACGGTAGTCAGTCCTAATTTTGGCAACGCTCCTATGACGTCGAATGATCAACCCACCAAATCACCCCATGTCCAGCCTTCGAGTACTCCACGCTGCAGCAACGAGCTGTCAAGAGCGGCGGGTTGTTGTTGTTGTTGTTGTTTCTCACATTAGCTCTATAGTCCACAAAAAAGGGGGGAGCCCGTGGTCTCGAAACCCGGCACACACGACGCCGCGGGGAAACAAAACAAAAATAGGGTACAAACCACTCGGTAAAAGAAAACAAAATGATAGAAAGAAAGAACAGGTGTCGCACCGACCGTTCGAGAAAAGAGCCCTCGGAAACAGATCAAAATAAAACACAAACAAAAATAAAGCAGGACGCTTCCCACACCCGCCCAAAGAAAAAGCCAACGAGTAACGTACCAGCACCAGGCACTGCGCACCAGGGCATGGGAGTAACAGAGCAAACAGGACAAAGAGGCGGCAGATGGGCAGACAGCCATACGTACAAAAACAAAGGCAACAGCCAAGCGAAATCAAGGTACCCAACACAGCAGAGTAGGCAGGGAGGTCACGAAAAAAAGAAACACAGCACAGAGGCCGAAGGCAATACAAAGGACATACATAAAGGAGTACAGCATACAGTAGGGACGGAAACAGGGCGCAACAACATCAGCCGGGTACA